TGAGCCCCCCCCCCCGCCCCCCCCTCCTGGGACCCTGTAGGAGCTCTGGCCAGGCCGAACCAAGCCCCAAGCCCTGAGGGAGGACAATGGGTGGCACCGGTCACCCAGGTGACTGTGGGGACAGAGCCAGGGAGGGCACCCAGCACCGGGTCCAGCTCTACCTGGTACTGGGCAGAGTGGGGGCTACTGGTGTGGCACGGGGGCCACCTGCTGGGCAGAGGGGACAGTGCCACCCCCAGCTGGCCCTAAAAGTTGGGGGGACACAGCTGGGGAAGGGTATAGGGTTGTCCTCTCCCCTTCCCTGCTCTCTCTCCCCAGGGAAAAGGGGCAGAGCCCGGAGGGCTGGTGGCCCCAGGATGGGTGGCACTGGGACGGGGTGTCCCCCCCTCTCCCCGCACCCAGCACCACCTAGAGGTGCCCTGGGCTGCCAGGCTGGGTGCTGGCAGCAGGTGGCACTGGCATGACACGGACCAGCCACCTTGTCCCCAGGCTGGGTCCCAGGGTGACAAAACAGCCCTGGTTGGAGCACGGGAAGGGTGCGAGGAGGAGGAGAGGAAGGTCTCGCTCAGCTCCAGCAAATTTAGGGCAGCAGCCGCAGCAAGATAAACCAGGATGAGGACAAACCACGTCTCAGGCTGTTGTTCCCATCCCTGGCCCACCCGAAATGCCAGCTCGGGGGTCCTTGAACTGCTCCCACTCCCAGTCACACCCCCTGTGTACATTATCCCAATCCCCACGTAACATCGACCCAAAATTATGCATGATTGTTCAGAAAACATCCATCTCTGCCATAATTACAGGCCCAGGACACCAAACACGCTCCCACGATGGTGGTGGCATCTCAGGCAGCGTTACCTGTAACGACTTGTCCTGCTGCAAGAAGAGACATTGAAAGAAATCCACCCTACGAGGCTGCGAAGGCGGAGGGAGGGGGAGGGATGGATGCCCCGTGGCTGCACTCATCCCTCATTTCCAGCCCAAGACCCTAAAAATCAGGTTGGGTGCTGTGGCTGCAATCATCCAGGCATGGAAGGACATCATCCCGCCACTGGCTAATATGGAAACAGACTGGTTTGGGTTGGAAGGGACCTCAAAGATCATCCAGTCCCAACCCCCCTGCCATGGGCAGGGACACCCTCCACTACACCCGCTTTCTCAAAGC